ATTTCTTACCAAACACATAAAATCGTATACATGAAAACCAAACGTTTTATCTCATTTAGTAGGTTAACCTATGTAAATAAAATAGATTTAATTCATTAAAAACTGTAAAATAGAAATGTTTCCACCAAGTCTGATTTTAAAATTTTTCAACTTTTCAGAATTTTAGGCAAGTGAAGGATTACATGTTGATACCTTCATTATTTACTACCACTTGATCAAATAAAAATGAAATATAAGTTCACAGCAGCAATTAGAATACCTTCTGAATTTGCTTCTTATTTGGACACTGTGAAGCTCAGCCACATCATTTAAGTCAGTCTTGAAGATGGTTTCAAAATATAAAGCAGCATAGCTTTATAACTTTTCTTACAACTTTTGGTGGTATTCAAAGTTACTGCCAGGGGTCCCTGCCACCAAAGATCGTTGACCAGAATAAGAATGAAATGCTCAGCCTCATACACCACTACCCCCAAAATCCAACTTGATTTTCTGAGAGTCTTCTACAAAATGGTTCTGTTTAGACTTTCATGAAACCATTAGCAAGTTTAAAAAATATTTTCTACTTCAAAAATCACATCATTCATTCGATGTGTGACAATGCTGTTGAGTGGGTTTGTTAGTGGCTGTATTAACCTGTGTGGTTCCATTCACACTCTCAAGTGACACTCCACACTTCTCAGGAATGAACAACCTGGCGTAGCCTGAGCCCGGACCCACCACAACAGGTTCTGGCTGTAAACTAGCAGGTTGAAGTTTCTAGATGGTCCAGTTTATCAGTACAGGCTCTTCCTCCCTCCACCCCTGGCTTAAGACTCTGCTTCCCTGTCCCAGGATGACATCCAAAGGAAGTTCTGCTTTGACCTTTCTGCTCTACCTGTGGCCTCATTTTTGGTAAGTTCATCAAATGGAGACAGCTTCAGTATACAGTGCCCCAATGACTTCCTGAGTCTCCAACTGCTTACTGAAAATTTCCATCTGGGGTAACATAAGAATTTTAAACTCGACAGGTTAAACATCACACTAGCTATTTCCTCCCCACTCTCTTCCTTGGCCACATGCAGGAGTGCTTGCCCTCCCTTATGCACACACACACACGCACGCATGCACACACACACACACCACACATTCCTGGAAACACACACACACACACCCCTATCTGATAGGTCCCTTTTTCTCAAAACATTCCTGCCCTTGACTTCTGTGACACCACTCTATTCCACACAGATCTCAAGGGCTACTTGCTTTTCAGGATTTGGAAAAAAAAATCTGTGAGACAATTCTTGACATTAATTTGCTCAGTGCTAGTGATCTAGAAACATCTGCAGGTGGACAATAAATTTACCCAGTTGTTTTTCTGATCACAGTATCACTTCCCAAGGCTCCTCTGCTACTCCACAACACTTCTCTGAATCCTTGAAATAGGGATTCCAGCTTCCCCAATTCATCTCCTCTCTTAAAGGTACTATAGCCTGAATAGACGGAGTTACAGATCTGTGAAAAGTGCCTGATAAATAGTAGGCTGTAATCAAAGCCTTAAAAAAAAACCACCTGATTTTAAACAATGGGTGTGTATGAAGAGGAGGCTGCCATTAGCAGCCTTTGTTCCAGGTCAGAGGCACCCAGTGAGTGACTGCTGTTACCTTTTCATTGAGTAGACATGGACACAGTCCAGACTGCCAGCTCCCCAGGAAAGAGGAAGTGAGACAACTGAAAACTCAGGGTGTATTTTCCTATTCAGTGGAGGTGATCAACCAAAAGGTACCGTCAGTATCAGAAGCCCTAAGTTGCCGTTCCACACACAGTTACATTTGAGGTTTTCTCTGGGAAGGTTGAGGGAAGATCTGCAGGCTTCTGGGCACCATGAAGACAGCTGTTTAAGGCCTGTCTGCATTTTTTATGAGGCTCCTCAGCTCCCTCAGATCTGATCAAACCTGGAGAACTGACTCATGTTTACCAGGCTCACAGAAACTGGCAGACCAGTGATTAACTGTAGATTTACAAGGGGGTGAGGTTTAGTGTCCAGAATATACATTTTTACTATCCTAATTGCCAATGCTCTTCAGAAACTGCCTAGATGAACTAAAAACCATTTGAATGAACTAAACATTTCCTGAAGTGGATCCCTTGGAACACTGGATCCAGAAGATGTTTCATAAGAAACAGTGTTCTGTGGCCAAATTAAACTGGTAAACATTCTGTATTATGACATCATCCTAAAAAATTCCAATGCACACTATAATGATAAAGGCACTGAAAATCCTGCAGTGAAAAACCTGCTTAACATTAGCATTACTAATACACACACACACACACACACACACACACACACACACTTAAAGATTTTATTTATTTATTTTTAGAAGGGGAGGGAGAGAAATATCAATATGTAGGGGGATGCCCCTCCCATACCCCCTACAGGGGACCTGGCCTGAAACCCAGGCATGTGCCCTGACTAGGAATCAAACCCACGAGCCTTTGGTTCACAGGGTGATAACTCAATTCACTGAGCAACAACAGCCAGGGAGCACTACTCTAATATATGTTACCACTGTAACTCTTTAGTAATTCTTTTGCAAAGTGGCATCCTAAAACGCAGCTGAGTAAATTCTCTTCAAGACATACATTGCATGGGGTGTGCCTCTGAGCAGAGCCACCTCTAACAAAGTCAGCTGTGGTACAGCGAAATGATTACCAGATCTGAGCCCCGGTTTTAGCTTTGGTACTTTGATCTCCCCAGGCCTCTTTTCTCACCTACCAAGTGGAATTAATAACTTTGTGAGAAATAACTGAGGTGTCATCTGTAAAAATATTTTATAAAGTGCCATAAAAAATGTGATTCTCTGTTAAGGGATATACTTCTTGCTGTGTAACCCCTCAAAATGCATTTATAAAGGAATACTTTTGTTCTTCCAATACCCATTCCTGGAGTGCTAATCAGTATATGAGCTATGACCTGGGTTTGGACCTTAGGAAGTTCAGACAGTGGGCAAGTGGGGTTCACTGCATATTGCTCATAAGTGATAGACACACAAGGAATTCTGGGGTGCTAAGATGAGTACCTTGCCAGAAAATGGAGGAGGAAAGTCACAGAAAGCTTCCCAGCTGAAACCTTAGGAATCTTGAACAATCATTAGGAGGGTTGGATGCATAAGGGGAATGGGGCATAATGCCAAAATGATATAATGTGGGGAGGGTGTGAAGAATGGGCCCAATTAAGGTTGAACTCTCAGTGTTGCATGCCCCTGCACAGAGGAGAAACGAGTTATCTGTCTCCTCTAAGCAGAGGAAGAAATTTAGCTCGGTAAGGAGGTTGTTTCTGGAGAGCGGAATTTCTTTCTGGAGAGGGGTAGTGACCCCTGAATATGGAGAAGGGGTGGGAGACTTTGGGTGAGGATGAGGGCTGCTGGAAAGTTATCTCTAAACAAGCACATACCATAGCCCTCAAGGGAGTCAAGCTTCTGCCATCTACCCCTACATGGGGGTCAAGTGTGGGGTACTGGAGGTCTTTTCTGCTTAAGTAATGTCTGCAGGAAAATTTATTAAACAAGGAGGTCTTGGTAGCAGATTGGGCCTTCTCTTATGTCTCCAGACTCTGAGAGCTGAGAGCAGAGTCCTCAAACCTCAAAGCTACTGTCAACCACCAGCCTTCTCCAGTCCCAAATGCAAGGGCCTCTCACTGCCCAGGCCCCTCCCAAACCCTGGCTCCTGATATCATCTGTGGAGGTTCCAGAGCACTGGGAATTCACCTGTTCTAGAGGTACATTGGAACCTGAGGCAAACAAGGGAAATGTGTGCCTCTATGTACACTTATCAAAATATTCTCCCATATTTAAATGAGGTAAAAAGTAAATAAAGCTCTACAGTCCAAAAATATGACTATATATGAAACCGGCATTGCCTAATCTGTTGTATGTCATTGTCAATCTTCATAAACCCCCACGTGGAGATCAGACACACGGAGGGTGCTTGGAAATGACTGGTTTCAATGCCCAGGTTGCAGTCATAAAAACACTCCATCTTTACAGAAAATGTTAGTATTTTGTTCATCGTGGGTTTTTTACATGAAATTTAGTTTTTTAAAATATTGCATTAAAATTATATTTATCTTAATTATTGAAAACCACCAAATGTTTATTTTTGATGCAATATTTACACAGTCCTGTTGGTTGAAGAATGCTGAGGGTTTCCTTGTTGCTAATAGCATGCATGTTCCAAAAACCCCCAGGGTGCCTGAAACCCTCAGGACTGCAAGAAAGTGGGGCTGTGCTGTGTGCAGGGTCAGAGTGTTGACCTCCTCTGCTTAATTCAGAAAGCCCCAAGGATTTGAGAGCTTTAATAAGAGAAGAGCCTCTTTGAGCCTAGGGGACTGGTATTGCCTTGTATTTCTTGGCAACATATTACAGACTCTAAAGCTGAATTCTGCAAACCCTGCTGTCTCCCAGCCATCGAGGGGTGCCCCGTCGGGGTGAGTGGATGCTGAGCCTGTGGGAATAGGGGCCAAGGGTGAAGGCTTCAAAGTGGGAAAGTGGCTGTGTCCCTTTCTGCCAGAAACCCTGGGCTCCTCCCACGGCCCGCTGTGCAGCCACAATCAATCACCGCTACAGCCCCTGCGCCTCAGAGCCGGGACTCACTGACTCCTGCTGAGGCTATTTCCCCGGGAAGGAAATCTCCGGCTGGAGTCTGCCTAATGCTTCGGCTGGGCGCAAGGACCAAGTCAGCGCTGGGGACCCGATGCGCGACCACCGCTCCCACCCTTTCGCACTTGATACCACGCATCAAGTCCCCGCAGGTAGAACTGCACAAAAGTCCCTACCTCCCTGCTCTCGCGAGCACACACGCACTCGTAAGCACACACCCAGCACCTAGAACCACCGTGTCATCACCGCCCCCAGCCCAGCTGCCCCGCACCCCACCCCCGCAAAGGTCAGCTGAGGATACCCCATAACCCTGCCTGGACCAGGGGCTGCCTGGCAGCGTCGTAATACCGCCCAGCCCGGTCCAAGCTTCCCCACTCGCTGGAGCCCCCTCCCCTATCGGCCAGCACGACCTCCGAGGGCGCTCGCGGGCTCTCTTCCCCAGGTCCTTCCCGGAGGGGAGGGGAATGTGAAGAGCAGCAACCTGCGCCTTGGAACCCGCAGAGCCCCCGCCAGCGCCCCGGAGTCTTCCGGGGCACTAGGTAAGGGCACGGGGTGGGGTCTCCGCTGCCGCCGCCCCTTACCTCGCTCAGGCAGTCCCCCCCCAGGTCCCGGAGGCGGGGGGGCGAGCGGCGGCCGGCGGACGAGCGGGGCCGGGTTTCCACAACACGGAGGAGGAGCGGGAGGAAGAGGAAAGGGGAGGGGAGAAGGAGGAGGAGGGAAGGGAAGGGCTTTGTGTTAGCCTCCGCCCACCCTCCGCTCCGGGGCTGGTAGTCAGCCCCCACCCCCTCGAGAGGGGTGATCGGAGGGGGCGGGGAGGCACCTTTCTGACCCGGAGTGTCTTCGTCCCTCGACGGGCGCCTCCCCCCCCCCCCCCCCGGACGTGCAGTCTCCGAGTTTACCCTGGGACCAGGAATCCCAGCTGGGACGGGGCAGAGCCGGGACTAAAAAGTTTATTTAACCTGTAGCAAACTTGGCTAGACCGACTCCCTACCCGCCTTGGCGTAGCCGCCCCTCTCTACTGCACTCCTCCGGGAAGGCTGGAGTTTTGTTCTCGGGGATTCGTCCCTGTCTCCTTTCTTTCCACTCATTGCGGAGCCACGCACACTCTCGCGCACCGCCTTCCCGGGAGGAGCCCGCCGCTGCCCTGCCGTACGTCGCGGGCTGGGCGCGTCGGCTGGAAAGCCCAGGCGGTGGCCTCCGACGGTCTGGCCCTTTGTCCCAGCTCGGACAGGCTCTAGGAGAACAGCCGACCTCCGCAATCCCAGCACTGGGTGTTTTGGTTCGTTTACGGGGAAGGAGACCGCCCAGTCCCGCCTGGCCCGGGGGAAAGAGAGCAGCGGGGAGGCGCATTGTGGTTTAAAAGGCTCTGTGCTGGAAGACGTTCCTCTCGCCCTGGGAAGTCGGTAGGGATGGGCGGGGAAGCTGGGATCTGGCCGGTTCCACTCCAGAAACTGAGTCAGACAGGTCCCTGGTGAGCTCCCTGCAGAGTACCACTCTCCCAGTGAGTAGAGCACCTTTGGGGAGAAACTGCTGACAGTGGTAGAGTTACCGAAGCAGCGGGTGTTGCAAAAAGATCCTCAAGCCCATCTGATTTGTAAAGAAGCAGAAAAGGGAAATGGAGAAGGACCTTATTTTTGTTCTTGCACTGCTTTAGATCAGCAACAGCAGAAACTTTTGTTAGTGTTAGTTCTTGTGAATCCTGCCTTCTAAAAGGCCAAGATTTATCTATCATTTATTATCAGCTCGGTTCTCAACAACCCAGTGCACTAAGGGTTCTGTTCCAAGTTATGCATTCCATAAATAATTGAGCATCTGCTATGCTCCAGGCACTGAGTCAATGCTTGGGATACACTGGTGACAGAAAAATCTCCCCACCCTGGTGGGGCTGACTTTCTGGATGGGTGGGGGACAGGGGCAGGGAAACTATGCAAACATGGCAGAATGCACATACACAAACCCGGATGGGGTAACCTATTGCTTTTAGGCTATAAGCCTATGCAACATGTTTCTGTACTGAATACTACAGGCAATTATACTGGCAAGTATTTGTGTATTTAAACATAAAGAAAGGTACAGTAAAAATATGGTATAAAAGATAGGAAATGATACACCTGTACATGGCACTTACCATACATGGAGCTTGCAGGACCAGAAGTTGCTTTGGGTGAGTCAGTGAGGAAAGGGTGAGTGAATCTGAAGGCCTAAGGTAGTAGTACTATAGACTATTAACAATGTATGCTTAGGCTGCACTAAATTTATTCAACAGGATGTTTTTCTTCTTTTTTTTTAATTTATTTTTTTATTGATTATGCTGTTACAGTTGTTTTATTCCCCCCTTCATTCCCCTCCACCCTACCCCCCGTCCCCACCATTACTCCTCCTTTAGTTTATGACCATGTGTCTCAAGTTCTTTAGATTCTATATTTCCCATACTATTCTTGCCCCCCCAACTATTTTCTACCTACTGTCTATGCTACTTATTTTCTGTACCTTCTCCCCCCTTCTCCTCCTCCCACTCCCCTGTTGCTAACCCTCCATGTGACCTCCATTTCTATGGTTCACTCCTGATCTAGCTGTCCTTTTAGTTTTTGTTTTTGGTGTGGTTGTTAATAACTGTGAGTTTGCTGTCCTTTCACTGTTCATATTTTTTATCTTCTTTTTCTTAGATAAGTCCCTTTAACATTTCATATAATAAGGGCTTGGTGATGATGAACTCCTTGAATTTGATCTTATCTGAGAAGCACTTTATCTGCCCTTCCATTCTAAATGAAAGCTTTGCTGGATAGAGCAATCTTGGTTGTAGGTCTTTGGATTTCATGACTTGGAATACTTCTTTCCAGCCCCTTCTTGCCTGTAAGGTCTCTTTTGAGAAATCTGCTGACAGTCTGATGGGAACTCCTTTGTAGGTGACTGTCCCCTTAGCTCTTGCTGCTTCTAGGATTCTCTCCTTCACTTTAATATTGGCTAATGTAATGATGATGTGCCTTGGTGTGTTTCTTCTTGGGTCCAACTTCTTTGGGACTCTGAGCTTCCTGGATTTCCTGGAAGTCTATTTCCTTTGCCAGATTGGGGAAATTCTCCTTTATTATTTGTTTAAATAAGTTTTCCACTTGTGGCTGTTCCTTTACCCCTTCTGGTACCCCTATCATTCGGATGTTGGAGCGTTTAAAGATGTCCTGGAGGTTCCTAAGACTCTCCTCATTTCTTTGAATTCTTGCTTCTTGGCTCTTTTCTGTTTGGCCATTATTTGCTTTCTTCTGGTCCACTCCATCGATTTGAGTCTCAGTTTCCTTTTCATCGCTATTGGTTTCCTGTGCAATTCCATTCATTTCAAAGTTTCGCCTTCATATGTTTGTCTAATTTGTGGCTATAATCAACCAGTTCTGTGAGGATCCTGATGACCAGTGTTTTAAACTGTGCGTCTGAGAGTTTTGGTATTTCTTCATCGCTTAGATTTATAGGCTCTGGGGCTTTGAGATCTTCTTGAGCCATTTTTGGTCTGTTCGTGAGGAGCGGAGCGTTGGACTCCCAGGTCGCTGGGTTGTGACGCTGTATGTGGGGGCGTGGTCAGAGCTGGGAAATGGCGGCCCCCTCTGCTGTTTCTCGCAGCTGGGTGAAGAGCAGAGCCTTAGGTTGTTCACCGGGGCAGGGCCACTTAGGTCGCTGGGTTGTGACGCTGTATGTAGAGGCGGGGTTAGAGCGGGAAATGGCGGCGCCCTCCGCTGCTGATTGCCGCTGGAGCTGCTGGTTCTTGTCCAACCGCCCACTCCCTCGCCTGTCCACCCGCGCACAAATGCGCGACCACAGTCAACCCGCAGCCCTGCTCCCTCGCTGTTTCCCTGCGGTCGCTCGCTGAGTTGCCCACCAGGTCCAACCCTGCGCCTGGATTCTGCGCACCTGAGTCTGTCTGACCGTTTTCCTGTGCAACCCCGCTCTGCCAGCTGCTGGTTTCGCCTCTCTTACCAGTCAGGCTGAAGAATTTGTTGTTATCAGACTTCCGAAAAGTTCAATTTTCTGTGTTCTGGCTGTGTTTTCTGTTGCTATTATTTAGTTGTCTCTAACCTTGGTTGTGCGAGAAAGCACGGCATATCCACCTATGCCTCCATCTTGGTGGAAGTCCCCATGTTTTTCTTCAATAATAAATTAATCTTCACTTACTGTAACATTTTTACCTTATATATGTTTTTTTTTAAAATTTATTTGTGATAACACCTATATTAAAAATATAAATAACTGTGGCCCTGGTCAGGTGGCTCTGTTGGTTGGAGGATCATCTGGTACACCAAAGGATTGTGGGTTCAATTCCCTATCAGGACACAGACCTGGGTTGCTGGTTCTATAGGGTGCATACAGGAAGCAACCAGGCAATGTTTCTCTCTCTGTATCTTTCTCTTTCCCTTTCCTTTCTCTCTAAAATCTGTGTATATGAGGTCTGTCCAGAAGGTATCCAGCCATGTAATATGAAAAGTAGAAACATTTGTGGAAGATACAAAAACCATTGTACATAGGACAGTGATGCCTCAGTCCCCTTCAAAGTATGCACCTTGGGACTTCACACAGTTCTCCCACTCACCATCAGCTGCCCAGTCGTATTTTCCTGAATCTCACTGGTGATCTAAAATCACTTTCCTTTCAAAGGTAATTTTAGTTTTGGGAAAAGCCAGAAGCCACAGGGCACCAAATCTGGGCTGTAGGGGTGCTGAGTCACCTGGGCGATTTGCTCTTCCACCAAAAAACTGCATGAGATGTGATGAATGAGAGGGTGTGTTGTCCTAATGAAGCTGCCAATCACCAGTTGCTAATAGCTGCAGCCTCTGAATCATTCTAATAGTTTCCACTGAGGAGTGTTCAAGCTTAACACAAAATTTGATGCAGATTCATTGCTGTATTCACTCAGTCAGTGTGAATGTTACGTATTACACATGCTCATTCAACAGCATCTACTGCCCCAACTGACTTAGTACAGTAAAGCCGACATTGTTCACATGTGTACATTCCAGTCCACTCTCCTTGGCTGCCAGCTTACATTGATGTTGAGCAAATCATTCTCGTTATGTTAACAATATCTGGACTTTTCCCTGACAGATCTTGTATATACATACATACTCAGGTGAGGATTAAAAATACAAACACATTAGTATAAAAGTATTTTCTTTATAGCATTATCATAAGCTGTTTTCATTTAAATTTTTTTTTACTTCTTAATTATTTTTTTGTTAAAAACAGAGGCACAAACACACACATGAGCCTAGGTTTACACAGGCTAAGGATCCTCCATATCACTGACTTCCACCTCCATATCTTGTCCTATTGGAAAGTCTTCATGGGTATTAACATGCATGGTCATCTATGATAACAATAGCTTCTTCTGGAATACCCCCTGGAAGACTGGCCTGAGGCTTTTCTTGAGGAGATGTCACTCTTTTCAGAAATACGTCCATGGTGGTTTGCTTGGTTTGTTCCTTTTTTTTCCCACCATAGATTTGCATGTAAGCAGATAATGATGCACCATGAACATCCTTCTCTATTAATGAAAAGTTTTCAGTGTTGGGGGTTCATGTTTTCAGTCTCTTTAAGGAGCATGTCAAAATCTGCAAAAACTTCTGCTAAACCCTTTACTGTATGTTCTTGGGGCTTCTTCTTTTACTTCTCTTGTAGTTTCCTTTCTCCTCTCCTTCT